TGTTTATATATATATATATATATATATAAGCAAACTACTAAAAATGACAAAAACTATGATATTATCTCAATGACACTAAAATAACACTGGTACAAATCACTAACACCCCAGTATAGCAATACTTAAAAATTCAATACAAAAATAATAGTGATACTTGCCTTGCCTATATTTATCGGTGTATTGTTGCTAAAATATACAGTATATCCCACGATTATGAATGAAAACAGCTCAGTTGCCTAGCAGTGGCAGGTTGGTGTGATGTTTCAGTGTGTTTGTGTAAGGCCCAGCTGCAGGCTTTCAGGAGTCATTGCAGGATCAGTATCAAGTTTTTCTTTTGAAGACCAGAGCTCGTCAATTTAGACTTCCGTGAGATCTGACCTAATCCCTGTCCTCGCTGCTCTGTCTCGCTCTCCTTCTCTCCTTCCCGCTCTGTCTGCCTCACAGTAATTGCGGAGCATGTTTATTAAGACTGTTATCTTCAAAGATCCAGACATCGGTGCCCAAGAATTTGTGGCAGGTGAGCAGACACGCAAACTTGACAGAAACACTGGGGGTTCTGTTCACTGCTCTTTGAGCATCTATTGAATCTTTTAGACTGGCGCGGGCACCGGTGGAATATTAATGCGGGTCCAACTTTAAACTGCGGGACTTTCGCATGAGGGAGTCGTAACCTGAGCGAGAGTGCTCCTCACAGCACTCTTATTGGATTATTTCATCTGCTAACGTAAAAGAAACAGACACCGCTTGAATCAGATGGTGTGAATAATCTTATTTCAACCAGGCACGGTGTGGATGCTGGGATACAGGGGTTTGAAGATCAGATGCAGTTGAAGGGCTGGTTAAGGGAACCAGATGTGTCTACTTCCATTTGGAGAACAGATGATTGTGTTTAGAGCAGTTTGGGAGTGGAAAGAAAAAAATTCTCGTGGTGAAAACAAATGCATATTAATCTCAACCAAGGTTCTGAAAGGTTTTATTCTTAAAATTAGGTTATAGTTATGTATACAACAATACAGTATGTTACTCCCTGGTCAGCATTTGCCAATTCATAAATCACAGTGCTTTTCCTAGATATTCATGTAAATGCAACTTTTACAACTTTAAAGTACAACTTTTTTAACAGTTCAGTGCAAAAAAAAAAAAAAAAAAGTAACTTAACTTAAAGTAAGTGTTTGTGCTGATTTAAAATTTCAAGTTTAGTTAACTTGAAATGTTAAATTGTACAAAAAAAAAAAAAAGAAACTTAACTTAAAGTAAGTGTTTGTGCTGATTTAAAATTTCAAGTTTAGTTAACTTGAAATGTTAAATTGTACTAAGGGACTACTTGGATATTTGAGTTGACTAAACTTAAAATTTTAAAGCAAGCACTTACTCTTTTAACTTGAAACTATTTTTTTTTTTTAGTTTAAGTTTTGAACACAAGTGATGGTTCTTTTTTTTTTTGTAGTCCACAACAAGGATATTATAATTAATTATAATTAACTTAACTATAATTATCTAAAATAATTGAAATTTTCCATTTTCCTTACTTGAAATAAATAATAACTGAAATGAAGTAAAATAAATAAAATGAATTTGTGCATTTCTCATTTTAATTAAGTTTAAATTGATATACTAAAATAAAAATAAAACTGTGATAAAAATTAAAATATATATTATATATATATATAAATGACAAAAACACACAACAAAATTACTAAAACTTTAACTAAAATTAGAATTAAAATGAGGGAGAAAATCAGATTCTATATTTGACTGATAATACTTATTTAGTGTCTTTTTGTAGATAAAGCTCATTCTCTAAGCATATCGTTTTATATAAGCGTGCCATATTTGCTCAAAGGTTTCCATTTCAGTGGGAATTATCTCTGGAAAATAGTTTGTAATGGTGATGATGTGCACCGTTTTGACCTTATTTAATATTCAAACATTTTATCATGCAAGAGCAACTTGTAAAGGATCAATTCATGAGCCTCTTTATTCCTAATGGCATGCAAATGACTTGGTAGACGATGACCTCGGCCATTTGCTTTACCCCTGAAGAAAATAAGTTTAATGCAAATTCATCAATTTTCATAAATAATCGCTTTCTGTATTTTTTTTTTTTTTACCAAAATACAGTGTCCTTTCTAGCCAATCCAATATGGCCTTTCCTAGACCTCCCAAAGCAGAGGATGCATAAAACCCCATCTAATGATTCCTTATGATTTGATGGTCTCATAAAGGAGCTGATGAACTGCATTCTTACCTTGTTTTGTGAAACAAAACTCATTTAGGAAATGCGAGGCTAACAATGCTTATTAAACTCATATCAGTATATGGGCTTTCCCCTGACAGACCTCCGCTAGAGTGACCCATGTGCTGATTAATAGTGTCTTGCACAGACAGTGGCTGTGTTCACAGTGGAATACTCACTCACCACTTACTGAATACTGCACTGAATACGCCACTTTCCACGAAGAGGTACAATCTGGTGTGGAGTCTCATGACAGTAAAGCAGTGTCTGTTGTAGTCTTGTCTCTGCGTCTGTATTTTTGTTAAATTATACGAATTGTGTTGCCTGTTGCTATTACAAGAATTCTTGTTGCTTTTTTCATATATCAAGTTCACAATTTTATGTAGTCTGCTATTCTGCCATAAAGATCTCACTGATTTACATTACAAGTGATCAGAATTTAATCTTACTCTTTGGACATATAAATAATAGTGACTGCAATTTTTCTGGATAAAATTGCTGATGCAAATATATATATAAATGATTTTATCTCCTTGATTATGAGCTCATACTACATAAAAGACTTATGCCTCAAATATGAAACTCAAAAAAAAAAAACATATGCAAACTTTTTTTGGAATATGTTGTTTAAAGGTTCAATAAACTGTCACGTTTAAAAAGAAAAAAATATTTTTCTGACCTAAATAAAAAAAAAAAAATTAATATATTGTGAAGTGAAAAGCTGCATGGTTTTTTTTTTGATAAACCAATTCCTGTTCAAGATGTTTTTACCTGTCTAAACTGTCACTTCTTGCCAAAATATGAGTCTATGATCCACAAACAAGTCCTGTTGTTTCTCACATCAAAAATCACCAAAATATTTGTTTAGAACTGTTTTGCTTCTTTCTCTCCTGATTCAAATGAGATGACTTTTTCACTAGAGAATGCAATATTATGGATAGAGAACTCTTATTTCAGCCGAAAGCAATGGTTTGAAGTTAAAAATGTCTATGAGTAAATGTTCAGCAAGTGTTATTTTTTTTTTGGTGAACTATTTTTAAAGCATGTATAGCGTGCTGTGGGTTCCTGTAGTGCATGTCTTTTCGCACACTTGCCTTTGATACTGTGATGTTCTCTTTCCTGTTCTTTACACAGCGGTCTGCTGAAGGGTAAAGAGAACGGCAGTCATGTTCACATCCAGGGTGTTTGCCTTTGTACCCACCTCACTGGCACAATGTGCTTTCTCAGAGATGTTGATGATTATTGCTCTTCTAAAAGCAGCAGTGCCCACAGGCCTCACCACCCCCTCACACCGAGAGAAGAGCCTTTACAACAATTTCATGCCGATACAGAGAGAAATTACTACACACTCTCGTTTCTTTCTCTCTGCCATCGCCAGATTGATCTAAATGATCATTAAATGGAACAGCATGGAGAGAACAGGCTGGGAGGGTGAGGTGATTGGGGCCTTTTAACTTACATATTTTTCTAAAGTGTTTTTGCTTTTGGGGATTGTTGAATAAAGATGCCTGAACACAAAACCTGGGCATGCTGGGTCCCTGCTGTGCACTGTACCAGTGCATGCTGGGATAGATCAGGTAAGGCAGGTGGAGACTGAAGCAGAACCAGCTGGCATTTGTCTTCAGAGGAACATTTGGGACGTCTGAGTTCATATAATGGTGTGCGAAAAGAAGACCATAACTCACTGTGATGGTTTTGTGCTGGGCAGCTGCATTGCTTTCCTCAAGGATTTATTTTTCCTGGAGTACTGGGAATCTCTTTTCCCTCTCTGCATGTTACATGCAACAATAATGCTGTCATTATTGTCAAAAAATATGCTCTAATGCTTTATTTATCAGGAATGTGTTCTCACACATTAAAATTCTGTCAGCAAGGAGATATTTTCAAAAATGTTAATGACATTTTTTCCATAAAAATGAATTGCAATGTGGACAAATAAAAATGATAAGTAAAGCACATATTTTTTATATTTTGTAATTCATTACATATTTATATCATTCAATAAAGCTGTATTTTCAGCATCATTACAACAGTCTTCAGTGTCACATGATCTTCAGAAATAATTCTAATATGCTGATTTGCTCAAGACACATTTCTGATTATTATCATTGTTGAAAACAGTTGTGCTGCTTCATATTTTTGTTGAAACTGTTACTTTTTTATGTTTTATTTTATTGTATATTTTGATGAAAAATAAGTTTAAAAGAACAGCATTTATTTGAAATAGAAATCTTTTATAATATTATAGACGTCTTTACTGTCACTTTTGATCAGTTAAATGCATCCTTGCTGAAGTTAATAAAATTAACTTCTTAAAAAATCTGATTACAAGCTTTTGAATTGTGATATATGTAGCGTCTGGACCAATCAGACACACCATTTTTCATTTGATTGTTAATAACTAGTTATGATTAATTATTCATATTTCCCCATGAGCTGATTCGCAACATATATGTAAATCTTAAGTTATAATTTGCATTCAGAAACATACATAATAAATAATACAGGAAGTGATATCAAAAAGGCCAATAAGTCTCTTAAAACAGCAGATCATTTTACCTTTTTTATGACAAGACAGGGTGGTGCAATTCTGAAATGATTTATGATATTCGATATTTATGATAAAAAAAATTTGAAAAATAGATTTAAAACCTCCCATGTATTCACAGTTTAAGAAATATATATGGTGTTTTATATGGATGTTTTCTTTCTTTCTTTCTTTCATTTTGCTCGACATCCCCGAGCTCATGGACACTCTGCTAAAGTTCTCTTTTTTTGTTGCTTTCCAGAAGAAAGTAAGGCATATGTCCTTGGAATGCCGTGAGGTTGAATAAATGCTTGACAGAATATGAGTTTATGAATGAAATAACCTTTTAAACTCACAGTTTATATGAATACATGCAGTGTTTCACAGTTAGAATGTCCAGTAAACCTCATTTCAACAAGTATGAAAAAATTAGCTATTGACTTCAATCTGGACTTATGGTTCCGTAAGACCCAGTCTCTCTTTTTCTGACTCGCGTTTCATCTATTTCTCCTCTTCTCACGGTCTCTCGTCTCTCTCTCTCTTGGTTCAGCAAGCAATGAAAGGTGGAAGAATGGATTTCAAAGGCTATGCCTTTAACCCCACCTCAATATTAGTTTTTATTATTGTTATTGCCAGCCAGCCGCGCTGGTGGTGGCCGGGCCACGGCGTGCAATTCCGTCTGGGCCCTGACTGATAAAAGCTCATATGTTGCCTCTAGCCTGCAGGTCTACATGAGGCAGTGAACACTACATTTTTGAAGCGATGGGGAGATATATATATTTTTTCCAGCACATAGAGCTTTATGGTTAAGCATGCTGAGACATCCGCTGACACGCTTGAGCTGTTCTCAGTGCAGAAATCCCAGCGAAGCCTGTGTCCTCCTGTCGGGGCCGTATCGTGGCCGAGCAGCTGTGAGACAGGTACAGTGGGCCATGGCAGGTGGAGATGCTTTGTGCCGGAGTTGTGGGTTTCGTCTCGCTGTGGCTGATGAAAATGTCACAGAAAAGCTTTGTGCACTGATGAGCAGCAAGTTAGGAGTTACTCGTCCTTGTGTAAAGAACATCAGCAAAGAACAGCTTTTATTGTGGACTACAGCAGAATGTATGGTTGTATCTGTCTTGATAAAAACCTTGTGCATACTGCTTTTTTTTTTTAATGTTACGTCATATGTTTGTGTTTTTCTTCCACCAAAAATGGTTACAATTTGGTTTTACATGATCATTTTTTCATTTTCTCTCTGTCCCTGAAGCCTTGATGCAAGTATACACATACAGATGACGAATGCTTGGCCAATATAAATACAGAATACAGTAAAAAAAAAATACTGTTTTATTTAAATAACTGTTTTTGATTAAAATATTTTATAAAATTTGAATTTGTTCCTGGGATCAAAGTTGAATTTTCAGCATCATTACTCCAGTCTTCAGTGTCACATGATCTTCAGAAATCATTCTAATATGCTGATTTGATGTTGATTTGATGCAGAACCTTTATTATTATCAGTATTGAAAACAGTTGTGCTGCTTAATTTTTCTGTGGAATACATTCCATTTTTTCTTTAATAAATAAAAAGTTCAAAAGTACAGCATTTATTTGAAATGGCTATCTTTTCTAACATTATTAATATCTTTACTGTCACTTTTGATTCATTTAATGTAAAAAAAAACAAAAAAAAAACTTGACCCCAAACTTTAGTGCCTCTTAGAATTAATTTTCGCTCAGAAATTGCTAATAAATTTCACAAATAATTACGAAGTAGACAGATTGAAATAGTATTTTCTTGTCAAATTTGCTCCAGTAATCTTTGTTTTATTTACAATTTTTTATTTATTTATTTATTTAAACAGTTTACTTTTAAGACATCTGTACGTAAATGACCTCTGTTATGACTGGCTAATGGTTCTTCACATGTTAAATTTAGGACAACACTAGGCCTGTTCACACCAAGAATGATAACGATAAATAAGCTTTAATAATTATTTAAATTCTGGAAGTTCACACCATAACGATCTAGAATGGAATCACTTTCAGTACGATTTTTTCTTGCTGATGATTGATAAAAACATTGACAGCCAATCAGAATCCATCCTTCATTAACTGGCTTGTGCATTTAAAGTGTCAGATGACAAAACTGCTATGTGCGCTTATAATAAACAGAATATTATCTTTCAGTGGTGTGGACGCTAATATAGTTATCGCTATAGTTATCTATCGTTCTTGGTGTGAACGGGCCTATGTTTGCTGTCTGATCCAATATTATGAAGCTGTCATATCTGTTTGTGTGTTTCTGCTCATCAGATCTGGATCTAAGACAGGCCCAAGTGGTGGCGCTATCGACCGGCACTAAATGCATTAATGGAGAATATATCAGTGACCAGGGTCTGGCGGTCAACGATTGTCACGCTGAAATCACAACCAGACGAGCCCTGCTGCGCTTCCTGTACTCTCAACTAGAGTTACACCTCAGGTAAATGACACACATTTACATTTTATTATTTATACATAAAGTCTACATAATTATGAGCACTAACCCAAACCCTACCCCTATGCCGTAAAGAAAACACTTCTTTTATTTATGAGCCATTTTATTTATGAGTGATTTTGTCCTTGTGAGGAGGCTCCCAATGGGAGGGTTTGTCAGATTTAGCTAACTTCTGAAGACAAACTTGTACCCAATGCAAGATGAATAAACCCAACACACACATACACACAAAATACAGTAGCTTCACTGTGTAAATTGCTAAATTATGATGCACGAAGCAAAATAGATTGTACTTTTCAAAGAAACAGCTTTAAAAAATGACATGAGGAATGAAAAATAACTGCATGCAAGAGAACAGCATGATGTATAGATGCACAAATGAAGTGATTTATTATAATTATGATTATTATGATTTATTATGATGCATTAAGTTTGCCTAAAACACATTAAAGGAATATTCCGGGTTTAGTTAAACTCTGTAAGCATGTGAAGCATGTTCAAATACCACAGAAAATAACTTCAACTTGTCTATCGGTTTGTAAAAAGAAGCGAAATCTAATTTATGGTAATGCACTTACATTGGAAGACAAGTAGAAATGTGCAGCTTGTATTTTTTGCTATAACACTTTTTTTCTGCACAAAAAAAAATGTTACCTTGAAGTAATTAAGAAATTATAGGTAACACTTTACTTGAAGGGGTGTGCATAAGACTGACATGTTTCCTTTTGATCCTATATATATATATATATATATATATATAAAGTGACAATTGGGAGATATAAAGTTGGAATTGTAAGATTTAAAGTCACGCAGATATATAAAATTATATTAATAAATTCACATTTGTGAGATATTAAGTAACATCGTGTTTAAAGTGACATTGTGAGTCGTGAAGTTGCAATTTTGAGAAACAGTCACAGTTTTGAGATTTAAAGTCACATTGCGAGATATAAAGCTATATTATTAGAGTTATAATGACACAATTGTGCGATATAAAGTAGCATTGTAACAAAAGCCACATTGTGAGATGTAAAGTTGCAATTAAGAGAAACAAAATGATATATAAAGCAGTGGTGAGCGGTGACTTTTTAGGCTTTTAGGACACTCAAAAGGGATCACAGATGACAAATAGCTAAGAAACACCGTGGCAGGTGTCGATTTAAAAGTATGCACATTTCCTACCTTATTTGTAAATGAAATTCATCTCCAATCCTTCTTCTGTCGTTTCAAGTTTATCCATTATTCAAATGCAAGAAAAAGAAAAACCGCCAAATAACGTTTACACGTAGTTACGTTATGATACATAATCAGAGGGTGGGGAGATGGGGGGATTTCCCCGGTCTATATGTCTCTGCATCTGCTAAATCATTTTTGGTTACACTTTATTTCGATAAGTCCACTTTAGACATTCTATTAACTATAAGTAACTATGTAATTACATGTCAACTACATGTCAACTAATTCTCATTAATTGGCAACTACATGTCTACTAACTCTCAGAGTAGACTGTTAGGGTAGGTTTAGGGTTAGTAGAATAAGTTGACAAAGAAAGTGTTAGAAGATATTAAGCAGACAGGCTACTAATACTCTACTAACTGCTAGTTGACATGTAGTTGCAAAGTTACTTACTGTTAATAGAATGTCTAAAGTGGACTATCGAATAAAGTGTTACCTAATTTTTTTATTCGCAGTGAATAGGAGTTAAAACTCCCACCCGGGTGATACTACTCCAATAACAGACCATGCAAAATACCAACAAAATATTTAAAATATTGCAAAGTAATGTTGCAACCTTGCAAACAATAATAAAATCAGAGAAGGACTTTAACTGTAAGCGACACGAGCATACGCAAAACAAAGGGAACAATATGATGTGTGTTATTATTAAAATTGTATTTATAAAATTGTATACAATTTTTTTTTTTTAATTTACCGCTTAGGCAATAACGTTGACAATAACGTATATCTTCAACATGCGTTGTCTATGACCAAAAATGTAAGAAGATATGTTTTCAGTGGACTTTTAAAATTTGCTTTGCTTAAGAAAACAAAAATATACAGTTACAGTGTTTTTTTTCTTTTGATTTAGTCGAGTTGGTTTTGCATCAAACACAATGTGATTTTCGGCAGTCGAGATCTGACAGCAGCAGCACATTTTTCCTCTTGGGCGAGCGCTTTGCGGACAGTTTACCTCGCGCATGAAATCTGCCACAGACCAGCAAACCACTGAGAACGCGCTACAATCCTGACGACTCGTAGCAACAGAGCGGAGGCGAGAAATCTGAGGAGAATCCGCTCGCCCAGAAGCAACCGCAACTGGTAGATTTAAAGAAAATTACTGCCGTTTGGCAAATAAATCATTGTAAGTACTTATTCCTAACTCTTTAAGCTTTAAGTTAAATTTCAAATGACAAGGGATCAACTTATAATCATGTTTATATGAATTATCCCGTGAACTTATTCTCTCAAATGGCCTGGGTATGCGGAGCATTCGCAGCTTATATGGATGGAACGTCACTGATATAAAGTCACAATTACAAGAAATTAAGTCATTATTGTAAGATATAGGGTCACAATTACCTTTTTCTTATTTGGGTGAGCTTCCACAGTAAGTTCATCTTTAACCCATTAACTTCCATAGTAAGTGCATTATTGTAAACAAGATATTTGCTCATTTTTTCACACCGAGTTGAAATTATTTTCTGCTCTAATCAACAGCATGTCATATTGAACCTGAAAAACTCCCTTAGAGCTTTAAGCAAACAACACATTTTCTCAGTGAAGCACATTTCACACCCAACAAAGGAGTTGGATGTACGTTCCAAAGTGTTAATTCTTCGTTCATTGCGAAAGCACATTATCATCTGGTGTGGTGTTGGAGGTATCACTGTGCGGCACACTCTAAATGTCTTCCTCGTTGTAGCAGATTGCTGCATAGAAAAGCCTCCTGTAATGTCATATTTGCATATGCGTCTTCCCAGAGTGCATTATCTGCGACTAAATGGGCCCGTTTGGCTGAGTCTGGAGTCTAGTTTGGAAGATGTCATTATGTTCGGCAAATAACATACCATCAGCACCTTCCTCAGTAGACAGATCTGGAGCAGCGCGACTCCACCCTTGACATCGCAGGTCATTTGCGTAATTAGCACAGCTTAGGTGCCAATTAGCGACGATGATGTTTGCATATGTAATGCACTCCCCGTGCACAGTTCACCTCGTGCACTATTCCAAAACGTCTTTTGTAAGATATCACAGTGAGGCGTTAGTGCTAATTATGAGGATATGTGTAAAAGTGGGGCGGCTCTGCAGGAAACGCCGTGTCCTCCCTACAGCTGACTAGCTACAGATCATCTGGGTTAAAGAATTACAGCTCGCTGTTGTCTCGGTCATTTGTATTCGCCTTGTTCTGACAGAGTAATGATTTGAGATTGTGCACCAGAGAGAGAAAGAGCATGCGAGAGGGGAAGGTGACAGTGATGGAACTAGCCTTGGTCGCGGGAAGGCCAATATTTGTCTCCTTTGTGTCCTCTGCCCATTATTAGCCCGGGATGTGAGCGCCGAATGCTTTCAGATGTGATTGTTTCTCATGTTTCCCTTTTCTGTTCTCTCTTCCCGCCTGTGGTCTGTGATCACTCTGAAGCAAAAGGAAAGAGGACTGGGAGCATTCGATCTTCGTACGGCACAAAGATTCCTGTTTGAGACTCCGAGAGAACGTCCTCTTCCACATGTACGTCAGTACTTCGCCCTGCGGGGATGCCCGTGTCAACTCGCCTTATGAAATCACCTCCGATTGTAAGACTCTTCGCTTGTCTGTATCATCTCTTCTGCTTGCTTCTATATTATGTGTCTAATACAGACTTTTTAAAGTGTCCAGATGCTAAATACTATATGTGTCAAGTTCTTTGGTTTCGGGGGGTTTTAAAACTTAATCCAAACTTATTCCATTTTTGAGAAAAAAAAATACATTTAATGACTAAAAATGTCATGGGGTGCAACATATTTTCCGTGCACCTTAAATACTTGTGAGTGCAGTCAAGTTCAGTTATTTGTTGGCAAACATGTGGAACATGTGGAAAATATAAATCACACGGAACTAAGTCATATACTCATAAATGGTAGGGAGTTAAACAGAACCATAATGGATAAACAAATCATGTGATTTCTTAGCTTTATACTGTAATTTTTCGTCATTTTTAAGAACTCTAGATCCTTTTTAATAACATTAAAGGAATAGCCCAATTTGGAGTAGACGTCACAGTTACATCACTTGCACTGCAAGTTTATCTCCTAGTTCGGACTTTATAACTCAATTTAACTCTTCATTTTTAAGAGTTTGTCGATTTTGAGAAAAAAAAGTCAGAATTTTGAAATATTTACCTTAAAATTACCTTTTTTTTATTCTTTCATTCCATGGCTTCCATAGACCGCTACTTTAAAACTGTTTTTAAAAGCCACCAGAACTGTTTTTAACTGCCACCAGATAGGCTCCGCCCACAAAAACCATCATCACTGTTTGCAAACACCAAATTGGTCTATAGTTAAATGTTTTTTTGAAATATTTACCTTAAAATTACCTTTTTTTTATTCTTTCATTCCATGGCTTCCATAGACCGCTACTTTAAAACTGTTTTTAACAGCCACCAGAACTGTTTTTAACTGCCACCAGATAGGCTCCGCCCACAAAAACCATCATCACTGTTTGCAAACACCAAATTGGTCTATAGTTAAATGAAAATTTGCTGAAAATGTACTCAGCCTCAAGCCGTCCAAGATATAGAAAAGTTTGTTTGAGATTTGGAGAAATGTATCATTAGATCACTTGCTCATCAGTGGATCCTCTGCAGTGAATGGGTGCCGTCAGAATGAGAGTCCAAACAGCTGATAAAAACATCACAATAATCCACAAGTAATCCACACCACTCCAGTCCTTCAGTTAATGTCTTGTGAAGCCAAAAGCTGCATATTTGTATATATAATATACATAATATTGCTTTCTCCAGAACAAATAAACAACTAAATACAAATTGGGGTGAACTATTCATTTAAATTGGGGTGCTGTTAAATTTGACATTGTGAATTTCAACATAAGGAGTAAACAATGTATAACAAGCATTACACATTTCTCCTCCAATAGTACTCCAATTTTACCACATCCGTAATAATAGATGGAAAAATAGATTTTGTTTTTGTTTTATCCAACTACAGTACATACCTCAATCCCAAATGGATTAGTTAGATTTACAAAAAAAATGAATAAATAAAGAAATAAATTTGATGATAAAATAATACATTTAATAAATGAATAGATTAAGCATCATGTCAACACTTTTTTCGGATTTCCCGCAGTGCACAGCAACAGACACTTGGTGAAGAAGTTTCACAGCCACCTTCGGACAAAGATTGAATCGGGGGAGGGTACGCTGCCCGTAAAGACCACAGGTCCCGTTCAGACGTGGGACGGAGTCCTTCAAGGAGAACGTCTCATCACCATGTCATGCACAGACAAGATTTCCAGGTCAGTATCAAAAACACGGTTCAACAGTCACTCTAGAACTTCTGTACAAAGAAAAGACAGTAATTACACATGTCTCAGCTTTGTGTCTCTGGACGTCCCTGCTGTGAGAAGACAGTAAATGAAAGGTCTGATTCCAGTCTGAGACGATAGAGTTGATGGTCTGAAATAAAGTGTTTTGAATTGGAACAGACTGGACCTTTCTACAGTATGTAGCAAACGTTTAAGTTCAGATCATTCAATTTTGATCCTATATAATATGTTTGTATTTTTATTTTTTTTTATCTTTATTTTATTTTTTTTCCTCAAGAGAGCAGACTGACCATCCCTGAAGTGTGATTTGTGAAGTGCTGGACAGTGTATTGACTTAAGGTTTACCTTTATTAGAGGATTAGTTTTTATGAGGACGAGATAGCTTCGTTTAAATAAGGCGACTTTTATACACCATTCTAATGGCCGAGGGAAAGGTTGGCATGACATTTGCCTTGAAGAAGGGCGATATCCAAACCGATGGTGTTTGGGACTGGAATGATCATTATTATTGTCTTATGACGATGCCTGTGCTTTGATTGATAATCCTGCAATAATTACCTTCTGTATGGGACACGTCACCGTGGTAATCTGTTCTCATGGGCATTCTATATTTGTTATGTATCTAAGACTGTAGCTTTGTTTTTGTTTTGTTTTTACTAGTAGGGATGTTTTTAAGTCAACTTGAAATCAAAATTGATATTATAATTTCTTTCTATAATGTGTATGAATTAGTGTAATTTTTTGAAATACATACCTGTATATATATATATTCCGTTCAAAAGTCTCTTCTGCTCACCAAGGCTGCATTTATTTGATCAAAAATACAGTAAAAACAGTAATATTGTGAAATATTATTTCACTTTTGAATAACTGTTTTCTATTTGAATATATGTTAAAATGTAATTTATTCCTGTGATGCACAGCTGAATTTTCAGCATCATAACTCCAGTCTTCAGTGTCACATGATCCTTCAGAAATCATTCTAATATGCTGTTTTGCTGCTCTAGAAATAGTTCTGATAATTATCAATGTTGAAAACAATTGTGCTGCTTTATATTTTTGTGGAAACCTTTTTTATATCAAGAAATGTTACTGTATATATAAAGTTCAAAAGAACAGAATTTATTTGAAATAGAAATCTTTTGTAACATTATAAATCTTTACTTATTGAATTCAATGCATCCTTGCTGAATAAAAGTATTATAAATGATAAAGTTATAATTGATAAATGTATTATATATTGTAAAAAAAAAAAAAAGGTTATATATTATATATGCAGTTTCATCATTCTTTCTGTCCCTCTCCTGAGACATTTAGTCATATTTTAATCAAGTCTCACTCTACATGATCTTAAGGCCCCTCAGAGCTTTCCTGGACATCAGAATGACACTGCGGTTAGTGAAACAGGTGATGTGAGCGAATGGATATTTGCCGAGGCATTTCGTCTAGAGTGTGATTACTTCAGTTTCAGACATTGTGTCGCTTTCACACTTCTGTCTCGTTGACACTCAATCCACACCCTGTATGAATGTGTGAATCACACTGCCCCGAGATCACACACACACACACACACAGCTGTGTTTGAGCTGGCTGCCATATGCTTGATTTAATTACCACCATCAGTCGTCTTCTGTTTGTTTATGTGAGTTCTGACAATCTGAGAAGTGTGATTGTGAACGTTTCTGATTACTCGTACTGTTACAGACATGTAAACAGAAGTCAAGTCTATGATCAGGAGGTAATGTCATGGATTTAAGGTTAATATGGAGTTTATATTCTCAAAATGTCATTTGGACTAAAAGAATTTAAATAAAAAACTGTGTTTTGCATTTGCAAAGTTGGTGTTAGATCCATTCAGATTATTTTTTTTTTTTACTTTCTTGCATTATTTTCATGACAATAAGTACATTATTCCCTTCAATTCTGTTTTTACATTTATTTTGTAATTGCTAATGTTCTCTGTGGTAATTCTCATTAGATTCTCATTACTGTAATACTGTATTTATTTAATTGTTTATTAAATGGCTATGATGCTGTATCATGCAGTATCAGTTGTTTAGGGTTTTCATAGTTAATTGTCACATTGCAAATATATATATATTTTTTTTTAAGTCTCTATTTTCTTTATGCAATATGCCTTTGATTTTGCAGTGTAATGTGACTTGTGCATGTTTTTGTCTGATTCACAATAGTATGAATGCTTCTCGGAGCATAGCAACAGTATCTAAGGGGGTGTGGCTTAGCAGATGCTCATTTCAATACCCACAGTTTTGTTTTTTTTTTTGTTTTTTTTTAGCAAGCTGATCTTCATTTGCTTTCTTCACCAATAAGGAGCATTTTACACAATTATAATAGACACAATACTCAAATGTATACCAGTTGAGAAATTCCTACCAGTATCTTTTAAAGCAGTAAATCACCCAGCCCTGCATGTAATGTGTGTGTATGTTAGGCTGGGCACAGCGACACAGAGTCACATTAAGGTGAAGCTCTCTCCCCTGGGCCATTAATTTGACCAATCAGATCGCATCGGCCAGGACCACAAGGGTCTGATTCTATCTGGCTAGGTCATCGTGCAGGGTTAAAGTAATTACTTTAGAAGAAACACACAGAATAAGAGAAAATAGAGCATCCAGAGTGTGCCACTCCTTTTCCATTTTATATCCCGTTGAGTTATCCCGCTCTTTTGTTGAGCCCACAACTCAGAGGGGCCGTTGATCAAGGTCACCATCAAGAGCAGGCTGGAAAAGAGGTTTAAAGTCCTTATAGTCCCTTATAGACCAACTCCATTCATCTCCACTGCCCTCAACCAGCTCACCCTGTTTTTCATCCTTAGTCACACTCATTTTTTTCATCCCTTCATCATCTTCCCTGACCTCACATCATTATCCTCCATCTCACCCTCCCGCGCTCCTCCGCTGCCTCCATTCGGCAGGAAAGCTATTCTGTGATAATGCGACCTCACTGCAATTACATTGCAAAAAATCATTTTCTTTAATATTCACACAATAGCAATAAATTATTTATAATTTATTGATTCTCCCTAATTCCACTGTTAAAATAGCCTGCTACTTATATTCATAAAGGCTTCCAGTTTTGTGGACATTCACACAAAGACCAGTCAATAGTCAGGTGGCTACACAAGATTTACAAAAATCATTTTAGGTTTCAACATTGCATCAACTGCTGATGAGCACATTCATTTTTATTTGAATTATCACTCAGTAGGTTATTTAACCATCTATTAGTGAGTGAAGTGACATGTGGCCAAGCCATACTTGGAATTAGTGCTCTGCATTTAACCCGTCCAAAGTGCACACACACAGCAGTGACAGCAGTGACAGAGCAGTGGGCAGCCATTTTTTTTGCTGCGGTGCCCGGGGAGCAGTTGGGGGTTCGGTGCCTTGCTCAAGGGCACCTCAGTTGTGGTATTGAGAGACTCAAACCCGCAACCTTTGGGTTACGAGAGATTAGGCCACGACTTCCCCAATGTTTATTACAATGTCTTTTGAATGCTTTTGTCTTTCAAACACATTAAAATGCACAAATTCACATTATTTCTTATTTACATGTAATGCAGGCCTTCCCAAACTTGTTTTGTCATCTGAACCTCTTTCACCTAATATATTTACTTGAAGTACCCCTGATATTTTAAAATAAATATTTTAATAATTTAGTTTCACATTTGCATGCTCACAGAGGTTGGTTAATGGTCACATGACATGCAGGTAAGCAAAATAAAATACTAAAAAAATATATATATTTGATTTGATTTGATTTTAAAATTATTTTTAAATGATTCATTTTAATTTTATATTTTTATGATTTTTTTTTTTTTAGCTTTTCATTAAACTCACAAATGCCCTGTCGTTCATTTACAACCCCCAGTTTGGGAAACCTTGATGTAATGTAATGTTTAATGCACTTCATGCCGTTAATAACTACGAATGGAATATATTTTCTACCTCTTCGTATTTTTATATCAATATGGAAGAAGATTATCCTATTTAAATCAATGTGATAAATGAGTTAGGTCAAAAGAAATCTAAAAGTAATAAAAAGGTAGTCTGATTATATGTAATGTAATGGATTACATTACTAACTACAATTTTTGGCATGCAATTTGGAATCAATAACGGACTACAATTTGTAAGTAATACCCTAAATATTAGAAATCGTGAGAATATAAAATAAATTGGTAACACTTTACAATAATGTCCCAGTAGTTATCATTAGTTAATGCATTAATTTGCAATGTACAATTCATTTGTTACTGTATTTATTCATCTTTGTTATCATTAGTTCATAAAAATACAACTGTTCATTGTTAGTTCATGTTAGATCCATTAAATAATATTAACAGATATAGCTTTTGATTTTAATAATGCATTACAGAAAGCTTCCTACTTTTGCAGAGATATGATAGGTGTTGTTATTGTTTGGAGGCAGCAAGGTATGCCGAGCTGACTGAGTGGAGTGGATGTTTAATTAAGTTGATGAGTGCTTTAATTTAAGACATAAATGGCATGCCTGTGAATATGATCCATCATATTCCATTTGAGTTTTATGTAGATGAACACATTATTTTAATGGCCTGCCGTTTTACAGCACTGGAGGGGGTGCTGGGAGAGAGCGAGAGGGGAGGGGGTGGTGAGGGAGGGTCGCCCCGTTACATTTCTACAGCAGCCAGATGGCTTTTCTTGGAAGAGAATTAAAAGATGTCTCTAATTCACAGCCTTGCCTCCTGGGTAAATTAATATTGCAAGGCCAACTTGCTTCTGTTTTGGTATAATCCGAGACAGAAAGAGAGAGAATAAAAAATAATTTTGTCTGGATAAGCAGGAGATTCCACAAGCAGATTGTTGCTTGGGTAAATGGATCCATATTTGAGACACTGGGCGGCAGCTCTTGAAGAGCAGCCTGTGTTAATTGACTGCTTGGGAAAGCAAAAACTATGATGGCTTATTAGTCATGAACAGAGAGTGAGAGAGAGAGAGAAGAGAGAGAGGTGCCTGCAATCATTACCAGCATATATCTATCTATCTATCTATCTATCTATCATCTCTCTCTCTCTCTGTCTGTCTGTCTGTCTGTCTATCTCAACTTTTAAAACATATTGTCTGTGGACCATTCACAGGCCGTCTGATGCATATTGCACACAAAAAGGGGAACAAATTGGCTGAAATCACAAGCTTCAATCTGATTGGCTGTTTTAACATAATTTCAGGGTCCCCATTGGTTGCGAGGAACTGGGTTAATACAAACAGCACTTCTAAAGATTAAGTAGTCACTAGAAATCACAAATTTATGTAGCAAAATGTGGATTTGTGGCTGTGGATCAAAAGGAGTCTTCCTGTGTAGATGTGCGGTCACATTTACTACTGTTTGCAAATATTTGCTGGCAAAATTGAGTCATTTTCATAGGAATCCAGGAATTTCGCGTGAGGGTGAAAGATTTTCCAACATAGCTTTTGCAGCGGATTCAAGTTGATTATCGGGATTCATTATTCTGACCAACAGAAATGTTTGGTTTGAATGTGTCTTCTGTGTGAGTTGTGCTTCATACATCACAACATGAGTGAAAATAGACAATGGACCTTTCTTTGCCCACAAAATTTTGCTGAACTTTTGCGAATTCGTCCGAATGTTGTGCCCAATTCTGACCCCTGATAGATTATTAACCCCCTAGTATTGGTAGGTTTAGGGTTAGGTGTGGGGGAGGGGTTAGGATTAGGCAATCAGATAGCGATTTCAACGAGAGGGGTAATAATTTTGCAGGCGGTTGAAAATGGGTACAACACCGGAATGTTGCCATTAATACACATTCTGTGTGAGCTGTGCTTCATACATCACCACACGACTGAAAAACAGACATTGGACCTTTCTTTGCCTACCAAATTCACCAAAATTTCGCTGTGACCAAAACTTAAATGGGCGGTTCATGGCCAGAATGTTGCCATTGACTTCACACTGACATTAACACACAAAGCTGTGCTTTATACAACGCTACACAACTGATAATAGACAGTGGACCTTTCTTTGCTAATGTGACCGAACCTTAAATTGGCTGTTCATGGACAGAATATTGCCAACAACACTTCAGGCCCATATCCAAAAGTCTGGGACGAGACTACACCTTTCCTAACCCCTCTGCACTCTCTACAGGTGGAATGTGCTCGGCCTGCAGGGGGCGCTACTCAGTCATTTTGTGGAGCCGGTGTATCTGTACAGCTTGACGGTGGGCAGCCTGAGACATACGGGTCACTTCTCCAGGATGATGAGCCACAGACTGGAAAGAGTCGGAACTCTACCCACCTGCTACTACCGTAACCAGCCTTTACTTAGCGGTATTTCCTTTAAACCTTTCCTTTATTCATTTCCTAAATGTTTGATAGATTCCGATCTGTAGTATATTTAACAGCAGTGCTTTGTTTGGTCAGCTGACATTACAAAATGTGAAGGTCCCTGCCCGACCTGTAGATCCCTAGGGTACAGTAGGGTACTAGTGTAACTGGTCTCACTCCCACCTCTCCGAGTGGGATTGAAACCATCATCAACCAGCATGGGAGGCTAAAGAGGGTGTGAGAATAATGGCGGCCAATTAGTAAAAGCTGTGCTTGTAAACCCCACTTTCTTGCCCCAAGATGCTCACTAGCGACTTGCCTCCCATGTCGGTTGACTCTGGTTCAAATCCGATTTTGTTAAACTGCTCTCCTGAGCCTCAGTTTGGCAGACGGACTGCACTATTGGATCTACCCATCCTCCAAATCAATCTCATCCAACACCCTATCACTGCCATTGAAGAGGAGAGCGATCCATTCACCCTTCTTCTCACGCCCAGTGGGCCACATGCCTCCGGCACGGCCCCTTTCACCACCATTGACGAGCTTCTCTTCTTTTGTCTGGATTCTCTTGTTGGGGAAAATGGGCTGGTTATTTTAGGCATCGCCTTCATAAAGGGTGCAGAGTTCCCAAGAAACGGCCGAGATCTCTTATCATAAGGAAACCAATGAACCCTTCAGTCAGGAAGCTAAAGTGAGACTGTCCTTAGTGGTCAGACCTGCACTAAATGCTTAGATGCTTTAGCACGGCATATGTTATCTTAAATACAGCATTACATTTAGTGTTTTGGCAGCATTCTTGTGTAAAATACTCTACATGATGTATATACAACATCATTAGCGACAGTAAATGAAGACAGCTTGAAGGAAAATAAAAATGACTGGTATTTCCTTCAAACTTTTCCTCTGACTCATTATTTGTATATTATTGACTCATTTAGTTTCACTTATGCACAGGGGACGTCATTAAATTGTGTTTTACTAAATGCAGGTTGCATTTTATTACGCAAACGTTAGATTGAAGCTCCAAATAACAGCATGTTTTACAAATAAGGTATATTTAATAAATGTGTGAATGTGAAGGTGCTTGAAGGTTGAGAAATATTCAAATTGCATATACACGGTACATGAGATGAAAACTCTAAAACTTTTTTTCTTGAAGACAAATGTGTCCATTCTACATGATGGAGTTTGCAATCTACTGGTCCAAACAGAATGAGAATGAGTGAAAAATAAAGACTGGAACAAGCTATGCAAAAACCAGCTCCAACAATGCATGAAAATCCTTTCAGATTGAATCTAGGAATGTACTGGATATGTACAAGAAAGAAAGTACTTGAGAAAGTAGATAAACTTCATACATCCAAGCCAGTAGGTGTCAGTATATAGTCCAGAACTACTCAGATAAAGAAAAGCTAGCAAAACATTACTGATGAACAAAACTCACTGAGCACACCTTTATAGAGCACACCTTGGTAGCTTAACCAAGTTACATAACTATCTTAAGCAGTAAGACTGTCTTTGTCGACGAGCTTTATTAGTATAATGCTAGACAATCTGCTCAGTTGTGCTGGTTCACCTGCTTCTCTAGCACCAAACAAGAACTAACCAGCATAAACCAGACTGAGTTATCAATTGGTCAAATGGTCCAGACTGGAAACTCAAATTCATGTAGTAGTGGTAAAGGTGCCGTGTCTAGATGGTAAACTTTGTACTGCGAAACTCTCGCATGATTCATTCTAGCCTACTCTTTGTTAGCAAAAAATGAGACTGTATGACTTTACTGAAGATGTCCTTTAAATGTAGGTCACATACTTTAGCCCATCACTTTTAGAAGATACCAAGTGGCACTTAAGAGTAGCCGTATGTCAAACACAGTGATCACATTTAGCAGTATCTTGTGTAAAATACTCTGGATGATGGATAGACGACGACATTGTGACTGACAGTAAATGATAACGCCTGCTCGAGGTAAAATACAAATTAAATGCTCTATTACAGACATACAGGGATAAACTGAATGCGGACTATGAAATGACACTGTGAATAAGTGAGCGAGGTTTTCAGAAAGAAGCTACGTTACGGCATAAAAGGATATGCACATTATTATCGCAGACAATTTATTCCACCTGAATCTGAGAATCTGAGATTTGCAGTAGGATTAAAGGAATAGCTCAACCAAAAATTTAAATCCTATAATTTACCAAATGTGTCTGACTTTCTTTCTACTGTGAAAAACAAAAAGAGGTATATTACACAATGACCAGGTTGCTCTTTTTCAGGATATGAGCGCCAGTAAATAGAAACACCTGCTTCACTCCGCAAGCGTGAGCTTCACGTCAGCATAACTGCATCGTCACTACAGCTGCAGACTCGCCAGAATATTCACACTGGAAGCGCGTGTACAGAGTCACAGCAGCAGCTCCAAATCTACATATTTATTTACAAATATAACTATAAATTGCTTTTTAGAAGTTGGTCAGTTTTAAACTTGAAAGTTTTAAAGTCTTGAAAGTGTGTTAACACGGGGATTCGCATATAAATGGTAAACAACAAAAACAGCTCTGATTGTCGTTTCAGTCATACTTTGATATAGAATGTGATTATAATGTGTTTTTTTTCTTTATAATACACCATACTTTCAACAAAACTGAATAATTCAAAACAAGTTTAAATGGGTAAATCTTCTATAAATTTTTTGATTTTTCATTTTCTTTTCTGACACTCCAATTCTTGTTAAAACACACTATACATGCTTATTCTGTGCATTTTTAGCACTTTTCGTGTGAAATCATTTTTATTTTGTACATTAAAAGTGTACTGTCACTTTAATTGAGCACAGAAAAAAACATCACTTCAGCGCTGCTCACGCAATACTCCTGCTCCCGCAATACTCCTGCTCCCGGTGTGAATGCACTCATTTGTTAAAAAAATATGCGCCACTCACACTTGCGGCGTGAAACCAGCCTAAATATCACTCTCAACAAAATTTCAATATTTCTTCGGAAATATTTCAGCAATATTTCTTTTACGTTCCACAGCAGAAAGTTAGTCATACCGATTTGTTTAAATGTAAGTCAGCAGTACAGTACATGGGCATGCTATGATAATCTCCACTTTAAGAAAGAAAGAAAGAATGCCATGCTAATTGGTGTAGCAATGCGGCAATGATTGAGGAGCCCGAGAGATCCTTTGTGCCTGGAACCAGTGTTTACCTCAAAGATAGCACGGACGACGCACAGACATGCTCTTCTGCTAATGAAACACTTCAGCAATCACATGCTAAATAGAACCTCCCTCAAGTGCTCTTTCTTTCCCTAAGTCTCCCTCTCTTTTCTCGCATACACAGGCCTGAGCAACAGTGACTGCAGGCAGCAGGGAAAGTCCGTGTGTTACTGTGTCAATTGGACGGCAGGTGACACCCAACTGGAGGTGCTCAACGCGTCTACTGGGAAGAGGAGGGACTCCGGGGCTCCGTCTAGACTTTGCAAGCATGCGCTTTTTGCACGTTGGATCAGACTCTATCGTAAGGTGAGCTCACCTTTGAATAGAAAAACATGCTGCATCCGAAATTGAATACTTCCATACTATATGGCAGACGAAAAACAGAACACAAAAAGAGTAGTATGTCCAAATTCATAGTATTCGTAAAACAGTAGGCTAAATATACTTTTGAATAGTCACAAAGTAGGTTCAAATTCAAATGTAGTACCTATTCACTATAGCAGGGGATCTCAACTCTGGCCCTCGAGGTCCATTTTCCTGCAGAGTTTAGCTCCAACCTTGATCAAACTCACCTGCCTGTAACTTTCTAGTGATCCTGAAGACCTTGATTGGCTTGTTTATGTGTGTTTGATTAGGGTTGGAGCTAAACTCTGCAGGAAAGTGGACATCGAGAGCCAGAATTGAGAACCCCAGCACTATACAGTATGCAATTTCGGACGCACCGACAGTCTTTCCATCTTAAATTGTTAAATGACTTGACATGAATGCATGTACACAAACTAGATTTTTTTGTGTAGATTTCATGTTAATTCATAACACAACAGAAGTAGGCATTGCATTCTCAGTGTTGCCACCAGGGGCACTATAGCTAGTATAAACTGAAGACATAAATCTGGTTATTTCTTTAGTTTATACTAGCTATAGTGCCCCTGGTGGCAACACTGAGAATGAAATGCCTACTTTTGTTGTAGATGCCACTAACCAAATTATGTTAGCACATTGTACCATACTACGGTCAAACATTTGTCATGTACAATGGGCAGTCTTAAAAAGTATGCAGTGTACAGTACATACTGCGCAGTATGCGGAACACTAGTATTCCATTACGAACATAGCCTTAAATTCGGAATAAAGTGATTGTCTTTTGACGTATATACAAAATTCCCTATTGTAACGTATGAACCGGCTTCACAAAACAAGGTAAAAAAAAAAAAAAAGAGGAGGAGGGTGGGAGGGTGAGTGACAGGTTGCTGGAGGGGAGGGATTATTGTCCTGCCCTCACCTCAGTGCACGTCATCAGAGAAGAGTTTGTTAATCGTCAATATTCGTTTCATGGTGACGTTAAGTCCCGTTCACACTTGATGCACAACAATAAATCTGAAGTCGCTGTGCTTTTGATATCTCCCATTAGTAGTTACTGCCTGGTCACCATAGTAGTCTGTGTCTACTCACCAGGGATGCCATAACATGGGAGAAAGGTTGGGCCGCAGCTTAGAAACGCTCCCCTGCTGGTCACTGCATTTTAGAGTTCACTTAAGGTTAGGGATCTCAATCAAGGTCACAATCAATGGACCCTTGCAGAGTTGAAATCTAGGACCTTTCAATTACCAGCCCAGTTCCAGTGGCATTTTCTCAGGTCAATATAAAGAACTAGTTGAGGATGAATAATTCTGTTTTTATTAGCCACAACAGACAGTTCCCATTTGTTATGAGATGAAAAAAAGCATAGGGCAGAATTAGGCCCTCGTCATGTAAATGTATGGGAGAGATGCCGGCTGCTGTACCAAATGCTGGCAGTTAAAGTCTAATGAGTGTGGAAATGGTAATCATCTTGAAAAGCACTTGAGCGGCCTCCCATGGCAAACGCTCAGCGCTCGCAGTCAGGGACGCAAGAGCACACACGTTAATCTCCAAAGAAACTTTTCTTTTCTCCGAGCCCCTCCGTTCACCGCTCCCTCTTTTTGCTCACACTGTTTTTCCGTGTGTGCGAGTGTGCGACAAAGAAACGCACAAAAGCACGGAGAATGTTCAATTGCTTGTGAAATTTAAATGGAGAGATTACACAGCTGCTCAAACGCCACGTTTGTGCCGGCTCATTCGTTTTGTTTTGCACTCTCACCATCTCTTGTGTCTGTCCCATCCCTCTCTCCTTCATTCTTTCTTTTGTTTCCTCTCTCTATAGCTGGTGGTCCGTGGGGTGAGTGGTATGCCGCTGTACTGTGAAGCGAAGCAGGCGGCGGGCACCTACCAGACTGTGAAGCTGCAGTGGTTGAAGGGTCTACAGGAAGCAGGATTAGGGACCTGGGTCAGAAAACCTCCTGAGCAGGAAAACTTCACTCTGACTGTATGAGTACAGAAGCTTGTCCTCGTCACCAAAACCACATTCACCTTGCAACCAGTCACCACAGAAGCTCTTTCTCACCCCTAAAGTCAACAACACCCCACTGCCAAAAAAACCTCCACAGGGCGATGACAAGAGTCGCGACTAGGTGGTAAACCTTGTTCTGTCAACCTCTCGCAAAATGTTGCTACTGAGGTAAAGATGAGGCACGGAAGAATTTTGTGCCTTGCCTTCCATGGCTTCTGTAGGGAAGGGTACAGTTAGTGGCTTTGTGAATAGTGAATTTTTGTCAGGTTGACTTTGTGATAGGGTTGACCAATATCTGAGGGGAGGGATTTGCGTTTAACTGATATAGAAAAAAAATCATGTGTACGGTTAAATTAATGTTCCGACATTAAACGACATGAAAGATCCTATACTCATCCTCCACACTTGATTAAAACATAGAATAGTGCACCACCTTGTTCTAGCTAGTCAAATGAAGTTTTTTTGCTATGCAAAGCTAGTAGGCTAAGCTAAGAACAAATACACCATAAAATTATTTTCTAGCATTTCTAATCAGGATCAGAATTGAATACCCATGAAAAGTTGTCTTTGTTTTATGGAATTATGGAATTGCTTTGGTGTACAAAGGGGACAGGAACCTGCAGGACATTGTAAGATCCTGTTTAAAACTCTGCAATACTTGGATGACATAATTAAATAATATTGATGACACTCAATATTGATTTGAGTTTTAATATTTTATTAGTTCACCAGACGCAAAGCTTCCATGAAGAAAAACTATTCCTAGTAAGCGTATAGTGCCGACTTCAGTTACCCGGATGAGCCTGTGTTATCCGTTTTTACCAGTTGCTATTGGGGGATGAAATACCGCTGGATGGAGCGATTGACCAATCAGAATCAAGTATTCCACAGAGCCGTGTATTAATAAACCATAACATTCTTGTAATGAGTTCCAGGAGCTTCTAGAATACCTTTAGGCCCAATCCCAATTCTATTTTATACCCCTTCCCCTTTGAAACAGAGTGTCACGGGGTAGGGCTGAAAATATTCCCCTAAGAAATGGGACACCACTACTACACTGTTACACATCATCATACGTCGTCGCTAGCTCCTACGTCAAAGAAAATGCACCGATGTTTATCACAAACTCAGACGTGCGGTAAAAGATAAGTTACCTGCCACCGGACTAGTATTTATGTCGTCAAATCAGTGGGTATCAATAAAATATGTTGTGGAACTGTCGTGCAGTCAATAACAATAGCGAACTGTTATCATAGCGATTTTTTGCAAACGTTTCTTTGGAGAACATAACCGTATATATGTACACAAGATGGAATGCAACATAAAACAAATGATTATTTGTTAATAAAATCCTTATATATGCCAAAAAATACTTACTTTTGTGGGTCTCTCTGCTTGCTTGGGCAACCATATTGCCATATATGCGGGGAAATAAAAATCTTTGTTTGAAGGGCTATCTGGCCCTTCCCCCTACCCCTCCAGCCAAAAGAGAATTGAGACACCCCTACCCCTTCATGTGAACACACGAAACAAAGGGGAAGGGGTAAGGGGTAGAATTGGGACAATTGGGACTTGTGAAGGTAGATCATATCAAAAATGCTTTGTCCTGTTGTGTAACACTCCCAAGATTACAAAGATTACATATTTCCATTCACTGCACTACACCGGAAGTTGCAGTGGCCATTGAGGTTAAATGTAGAAGCGATCGTGCATAGAGTCCATTATGACATGTCGATTATCGCAAAATAATTTTGATTTGTCCCTCAATATTTAAAAAACAAAAATGTGGAAGGTTAAGGTTACCCTTAGGGGGTGTTTTCTTCTGGGAAACAATGTATGTAGCTTCCGCGAGACTTTTGGCAGAACAAGGGTTACCAGCTACGGAATCGACAAGGGGGGATGTGAGAAACGGGGACAATTTTCTCTCAACACAGCAGATGGAAAGATGGTCACCTCTCTCTCTCTCTCTCTA